TAATATAAAATATTTGTGCGCGGAATATTAAATTATAGAAGTATTTTAATTTATTGATTAAGATTAATTGATTATTTATTAAACCATTCCTATCATTTTATCGATTCTCGATTAAATTATATATTGTTTAATTGACAAGGATTGAGAATATTTAAAACATTGGTCGAAATATATTTAATTCTAATATTGTTGAGGAAATATCATTATAATAAGCATCAATATGAAAGAACATAACATAATTAATTTTCTTATGCCCTTTTATGTATCCCCTGTTTCAATTTTTATTTGCAGTAGTGAATGAATGCGATTCGATATAGATTTATCGTTGCGATAGAATTTCATGTCGTTAATTATTTTTTAATTAATTAATACTTATTAATATTTATAGTAAATTATATTTTGACGCTAATCGTAATCGTGTTTAATACAAAAATTATAATATACGAAGCGTTTCTCATCACTACTTTATTACTCGAGAGTCACCGTGCGAATGATAACAAAGCCGTGACATGTATAGTGTGCTTGCTATACGTCGCTAAGGCCAAACATGATATTATTGATAATTCTCTGCCGAAATATTTTACGTACTATATATACACGCGGAATTTTAAATTATAGAGGTATATATATTTTATTTTAAATTAATTAAACGATTGATGTATCATGGAACCTTTTGTTATGTTAATGATTTGAATTTATTTGATTGTTTTACCGCACTTTTCCGAAGTCAAATTTCATAATATTTAGTTTTGTATTTTAAAAGACTGACTTAGAGCGAGCTAAATAAATAAATAAATAAATAAATGATGTTCAGAGAAGAAAAAGAAGACACATAAATAAATAAATAATAGCATTCAGAGAGAAAACATACTAATATTTTTATATAATAAATTATTATTAAGTAAATTATTTATATTTTTATTTATATTATTTATATTATCAGAGGGACATATATATTATCCTCTGAGAATATTCGTGGACATTGGCTTTGTAGTTTCATGTCCACGTTTTTAATGTCCACAGAGGGAGTATCGCTTCCATGGATCACCTAAAAGCGGGCCACGACATCTCTCAGTCTTCTCTCTGATTAAGAATATTATAAGAGAATATTAATTAAGAACATTATAAGAGAATATCAATCTTTTCACATGTTTATTTTTTTCTATTTTTTTAAATATAAATTATAGAGAAGAGATATAAAGACAGCATTAAAAAAAAGAGAGAAAAAGATCATTTTTATATTCTCTTCAATTACATGTTTATACTTTATTTAACTTTTAGTATCCATTCTCTTGAATTAATTAAAATACATAACATTCCATTCATCTACAACTATTATCTGTAATGGACAGTAAAATAATAAAAAGGTATATTCTGGAAATATTTTATTTTTTTACACGAATATATTTTTTTCATTTTCATGTATCTTGTGCAATGACATAAATGTGAAAGAGCGTATCACAGTTTTGAAAACGTAATCGTAGTCGCTAGTCACATTATGTTTGTGATTAGTAACATAGTATATGATATATATGAATATATAATCTATATAATTTGTAATTATATCTTACACATATCACATAGAGAAAGACACAAGAGGCAAGATGGTCGCAGGTATAAGCTTATGGAGGGTTCGTTGATACAGATACACAATTATACCTTTTGATTATGAAAATACATTTGGAATAATTTTTTTTTTCGAAATTATTTACAATCTTGAAAATTCTTAAGAAATCTTAAAGTTATAATCTCACCTGCACTTTTGTGCATGATGGTTCATTATTATGACTTTCAGAGCAAACAATTTTTGTAACTCTTCTTGAATTTTTTTATGTACTAATATATTAATAGATTTTTATATTATAAAGAGAATATGTATAAATGTGTATTAAAGAAATATGATAAACGTTGTATACACGAATAAGAATATTAAATCGTTGTACTGTCACTTTGAAAATGCACATGTATTTATTCTATTTAATATATAAGATCTCGAGGAAAATATGCAGCAGAATATTTTTAAAAAAATAGTTATTTCTCAGATTAACCACAACAAAAATGATTGTGGTTATCATTAATTTAATAGTTGTGGATAAATTTAGAAATACTATTTTCTAATGTATACATTTTTTATCATATCATTATTACATTAATAAATCATTATTAGTTAAGTTGTATAATAATTGTAGTTAATTTTTGTTTGATTATGTGTTTTAAAATATTGTGTTATACAACATGAAAAATAAAGATTATTTTATTATATTATATGCATACTGGTCTTAAGATGTGCTATGATAATATGATAAGCTTTTAATCGTGCTTTGTAATATCTTTTGATTTTAAATTTTCATTCCATATATTAATAGTTTTATTTTAAATTAATATCAAAATATTTAGTTAAAAAGTAGAATGGTGAGCATGTAAAAAGGGATCGCCGCAAGATAATTCCCTATATCCCTTGTGAAGTCGTCGAACGGATTAAATCGAAGGATACAACTGTGGATCTGTTACTCAGCGAAGGATTTTCCATGAAAGACGTTGCACGAATGTAAAAGAAAGATTATTGGACGTGATCGTTGTGCGTTGCATATGACCTGTTGACAAGGAAAAATCTCGTTGACTGATTAATTCAATTTTTTTCAAAATGTATCGATACGTCACTTTTTATCTAACTTTAAAAATTATTTTATTAAAGAGCATACCATATAGTCCAAAATGCCTACCCTGTTAGTGTTGTCATCGATGCAGATGCAAAGAATTCGATGAACCAAAAAAATACCACTGGAAAAAAAATTAAATGTTTAATCTATCATTTATCATATATAAAGTGACATGCTTGTCAAGGCAATAAAAATTGCAAAGATTACATCATATGTCGAAAGAGTACAACTCGAAATATATGTAACGCATCTCTACCTATCCTCGTGCCGCCTTAGTGACGTCGGATTAAACGGGTACGATGATGAAGAGCATTGATGACAATCCCGATATCTTCCTCCGATTCAGCAGATGGACGCCGCGTCAACCGACTTGGTGTCCCACAAACAGACGAAGTAGCAACTTGCTTCGCTTGTGGCGTTGGAAACGAGGAGCGGCGGATGAGCGGGGGTGGTCGTGCTCCTGAGGATAGATAATTAAATTTATTCTTACGTCTGCCGCTAATCGAATTAAAATGACTTTGTATTCTTTGCTATAATCTGCATTCGAGTTAGATACTTTTTTGCCAATAATATTTCAATCAAAGATATCATTTCCAAAAAAAGGTTGACAATTAACAGAATTAAATATAAATGGAGTATACACTTTTTATTTATTATTAAATATTTTGAATTATATTAATTTGTAATTATTACAAACTATATTTTAATTCTCTAGCTCGTTCTCTCTCAAAAATGTATAAAACATCTTTAATGCAATATGCAAAGTATTATTAGAGTAAAGAAACTAATCTATGTAAAATATAAATTAATCGATTTTTTATATAGATATCTCTTTTTCCTGTATAATTGTAGAATATAAAAAAATTATAATTAATTATTCCACACATACCTAACAAACGTAAAGCAGAACGGGGTGTTCCAGGTATCTCAAAAGACCTTTGACTCCTAATTAATTCTCTTAAAATGGGACGTCTTGTGGCGGGTTGGTCCACGCTGGAGGAACACCTCCGTGAGATAATCGTGCCTGCCCTAGACGAATCCTTATGCATTTTTGAAAAGAAAAGGTGCAATAGTTTTTTCACGTATGCGTGTCTATCCGAGCATCGAGAGACGGTCTTTATTAGCTCCGCGAGGAAAAGCGAAGCGCTTATCCGTCAGTCTCTGCCGAATATCGCAATTAATTTTGTGCGGTGCAAAATTATTGAAAACTTAATTCGAATTTAAATTTGAAAACGTGCAAAAATTGAATAGTGAATAGTTAAAAATAGTGTAATTATATGCGTTGAAATAAAGTATCAAACGATATGACTTTATTTTTAGAACAATATGCAAAGTCATATTGTATTATCTTCAAGAAGCGCGAGCAGAAGATTTTAAAAACATATATTTTTTCAAAGAGATTTTTCGCTGACAAGTTATAACATACAAGGATATTTTAATGATACTAAGTTTCAACGCAAGAGGCAAAAATATTTGTAATATGTGGCACAATACTTTTTCTCTGGCGAAGCGTATTCGCAGTACTTCAATGAGAGCAGCTATGACTGATACGAGCAACATCGTCACGAGTATGTGACCTGCCACTGTGATGGACTTCATCTGACGCGTCTTCAAGATCTCTTCAGCGTTTTCTTTCAGTTCTTCGTCGATGCCTCTCTTGGCTACACACGTTTTCTCTTCATCCTCTTCATCCTCCCTGCTATCTTCTTCTTCAGAGTCGCTGTCATCATCGTCGTCATCCTCGTCATCATCGTGCTCGTTCTGCTTGTACATGCAATTTTCATCGTAATCGCTCAGAAAGACCGACATCAAGCGATCCTTATATCGTAGATTCGGGCAGCGTTTTAATCTTCGATAATCCATCGGTGTCATGAGCTCTTTTTCTTTCGCCGAGTCAGCCAGGTCACTGACATTGTTTTCATCCTCGTTTGGATCCTGATCGGAATAATTCGTGTCGAATAACAGTCGCAAAGGCAAGAACAGAAGCACCCCGAATATCGTCAGTATCAGTAGAATGCTAACGTTAATGCCCAAGGACAATCGTTTCTCCGTCATTCTGCCAAAGTGTCGAGATCGCACCGCGTTGTTTACTTAAATATTGTCAATTCGCAGCCGGTGCAAAGTCTGTCGTACATTTCCATGGCAACGCGGCTCAGGCGGCATTTAAACTTGCGTGGCTTCCTCCAATCGAAAGCTAATCAATATACAATTACGAGTCGATTGACTTTGCAAATTCAATTGTTATTGTCTCAACAATGATATGTGCACGCGACGATGATGCACTCTGACTCGTATCTCTCTCCTCGTCTCGACGCAACTGTTGCGCGTCGAGCAAGCAATTCCAAGTGAACCTGGATGTTGTCTGTAATATTGATTTCTCCAGGTGGACCAAGCACGTACGCGCAAGTCTGCCTCGCAAGATCGCTCGTCGGTGGACACCTCGCACATGTCGGTAATTAGATTATGCTTATGGTGAACGGATGATTTGCCACGGGGTTTTGAGCACATTGAAGGACGGCCAAGAATACTCGCGAATAGGTCAGGTATTATTGGGAGAGTAAGATTTTTCTTCTCAGAACATAAGTTGCGAGGAGAAAAGCTCTGAACTGTGCAATGCACGTTAAAATCGATATGATAAATAATGTTAGGTGTTAAATATAATAGTTGTGTCGTAAACAGCTGTGCGAAAACATCATTAAAAAACTTTATCCAATTTATTTGCTTTCAAATTTATTATTCAAAGAAAGCCGCATGATGGCAAATCCGAGTAAAATAGTGCACACGAGTGCACAGAATCGCGAAACAGAATTCAGACGAACGCAAAGTTCTCGATGTTGAGTCGTCGGAATGGATGTGACTATGGTTTCCTATTGAATGGAAGCAACCGTGCGGCAGTTCTCGGTTTCTCTAACCGCGTGCATACATAAATAATATTAGACAATATCAAATTAAAATTCGCATCTTTCTGCGAGCAACAATGGACTATGGTGGACCAACAAAGGAAACGCCCGCCGCGACAGGACGAGTGGTAGTAGTAGCATCGTGTGGCGGCGGCATTTATAAAAGTAATAAAACAGTCGAACAACAACTCTTGTGGGAGAGGGTGAGCGGCAGCGGTGAGGGAAAGGGGAAGGCGGCCAAGGGGAGAAAGGGCGAGGGTGAGCGGGATAAGCCGGGAGGTGAAAAGAGGAAGAGAGAGAGAGAGCAACAGGCAAAACAGAGCAAAAGGGAGAGAGATGAAACACGGGAGAACAGCGACCCGACCCGACCGACCGGTAGCACAACCAGCGCACGTATATCTTGCTCTGCTACTCCGATTCTTCGAGGTTCTCATTGATGAACTCCCTCGTGTCTTCAGAAGCTCGAAGATTGCACGCGAGAGGCTCTTTTAAAAATAACTGCGATTATCCATCGGATGCGCGAACAAAGGCTCTATCAAGCGAAATAATGACATAAGAAATGCATATAAAATGTGTAAAAAGAGTAGATGTATACGTTTATCAGGTTCCATACCTATTAGCTTTCGGCAGTATATGAAGTTTAATATAAAAAATATTTCTATCAATTATAGATAGATTTTAAATATATGATTGTATCAATTAAATAGTGCAATTATTAAAATATTGTATATAAGTCGTACGATTTAGTTTCTTTGAATCCAGATTTTTTTCTGTATTTTTAACGTTCTCTTCATTTTTGGCCGAATCAACAAAAGAGTAAATTTATCATCAAAGTATTACAAGGAGAACGATAAGTTCATAATCTGTGAAAGCCATAATTATCTCGCGCGGCACAATTATTTCGAGGAGCTTGCGAAGCGAGCCCGGGTAAATCGATTATCGCATGCACGACGGGTGCGAAGATACGCTTCGAGGTCACCGATTGAGCGATTTTTACAGGTCGGCCGACAACGGCGAACGTAACAGGTAGATAGGTTGAGAGCCAGGGTATGTAGAGCAGATGCTGCGCTTTCTGGCCGTGGCAGTGGTGGCGGGATGCGTGATTTTTCACCGCCGACAACTCCTCCTTCGAGAGAGAGAGCCGCGCATTCCACCCCTCCCCATCTTCCTCGGGGGGGCCTCTCCATCGTCTTCCCATCCCCGGGCACCTTCATCCTTCACTCTTCGTTCTTCGCGTCCGGCCAGCTCCCGCTCGCGCCGGCCAACGTACCGGACACGCCACTGGACACCAGTTGCACGATCTTAGATTTGCCGATCTCGCGTCCGGAGTGCACCGACACACGGAGGGAGATGCACAGGGCGCGCCCGCGAGTCATTCCTGCAGTCGCGTGTGCCTCGCGATCAGCTCGCGCGAATACGCACGCGAGTCACGCACAACCGAGAGCATATCTATTGACATATCAGAAAATTTAGGAAGCCGTGAAATAGCGATACGTGCAGGAAATACGCAATGACGAGAGTATCCATTAGCATACGAGGAAATTGAAAATTCCAGGAAATGAGAAAATGTACGTTCACGCGGAATACATGACGAGAGTCTATCTAGCAACGATCGAGAATAGAATACAATCCGTGAAATACATTATCGACATACATATAATTTTGTTTGTAACAAAACAAGTTCCTTAATCTCTGTAAATTTTTAAAATACATTTCGTTAAACATTTCTGATTACAAATTTAACAATTAACAATATTCCAGATTTATGTGTCACATTGATTTTGTGCATTCAATTATGATCAAGATAATTGATAAACATAGTAATACAAATTTATAAGTATGAATTTTATTCTATTTATTTTGCTTTACTCTTCCAACGCAGCATGCAATTTTAATATTATATTTATTTGCATAAGGAAATCAGATAATAAATTAAATAATCATTGTACAAATTGACATTCAATTTCGACAGTTATGTCCAATACAATCGTGTTAATCATATCAATGAGATCCAATTTTTTCCAAAATGAAAACTAATGATTTAAGAATCTTATCTATTAAAATTGCAAAATTCTGCAAAAATTTGATTTTCTATAAAATACTATTCTCTGTTTATTTACAATTTTTTCAAGCGAATTATGTACCACTGTACCGTCCATTTGTACCTGAATTTGAATAATCATCATATTATCGAAGGCGGCACATAAAATGCGAACATTGTCGAACACAGATGCGTCTCTTAAATACGATTTCGCGTGTCACACGACCGGAACGAGCATCTTTTCCGCCATCCTTTTTTTTTACACGCCGTCGATCTTGACGAAGAATAAAATGAGGAGGCAATACGTGGTCTGTCGCAATTTCGTACCTAACTACCGGTATATTCCACCGGTATTAAATCACTCGCGCTCCTCGTAAAATATGTGCATCCAATTTGCGATGTAACGCGCGTCCCGCAAGTCCATGATCGGAATATTTACGCGACCGTTTGATTAGATTGATAGCATAATTACTGGCTGTCCGAAAATCGATTTACGCTCTAAAGAGACTAATGTGTCTGTGAGCTTGCAAAGTCATTATTTATCACGTTACATAAATGTATGCGAAAATAATTCTGGACGAGGTGCGGAGTGTCGAGCAAAAATGAATCGTCGCGAGACGCTCGCTATTTAAAGTCATAGCGTATCCGGTATGACCGCTTCATAAAACACAGTGTATAATATCTTTTCATCAAAGTCGTTAAAACACGGATAAAATCAGACAGACACCGTCCTTTCCTTATGGCGCGTAAATAGACGAGAGACTCGCTCTTCGTTGTTAAAAGTCCAGAAGTTGCCCCGAGCGATTCGCATACGAAGCGCTTCTCCTCGCGACGCAGCTCGCGCCTTCATCTTATCGGAATTATTACTTTTGTGTTGCAACACCATCCGCCATAAATAAAATTAATACCACGCCGCGCGGACGTCCTATTGCTCGAGACGCATGTTTCCGTTGAACATGCACCGCGCGATTTACGCACCGCCGGCATTTTCGTATCCTCGGATCGAGAGCGCGCGAGGGGATCGTTCTATAAATTATAATATTATTACGCACATTTTTTGCGGAGCGCACAACCGGTGAATATGTGCGGAGGACGCTACCTCTCTCTCTCTTTCTCTCTCTCTCTCTCGTTTTCTTGCTGATCGACATTACGCCGCGACGCGAAATCGCGATTACCGGCATCGGAAATCACACCCCTGGCACCTGTGCCTAGCGCAGAAACTGAGGCGTGAATGTAACTAATTGGCATCGCGCTCGCACCGAGTCGCATCTTTATCTGCGCTCCGGAATGGCTCGGGGAGGTTCCCTCTCTCGCATCGCTGCAAAATTTCCATCTATCGCCCTTATAAGATACGGTCGGGATCAAGCGAGACGGACAGAGACAAAGAGGGAGACGACGGAGAACGACGGGGTGTCCAGGGCCGCGGGAGGGTCGTATCGTAACCGCTGTCTTCGCGATGCATACAGGGGAAGGATGTGCATCGCAATTACGCAAATTGCGGTTCTGTTCTCGCCTGCTCCGGGCGACCGCCTGCGGGAGAGAGAGAGAGAGAGAGGGAGAGAGAGAGAAAGACAGGTAAGAAAAGAGAGGGGCGAGACGACAGACAGGGTCCGGTCGTCCTCGTGGTGGCGAAGGATTGGCATCGCGTAGATTCCCGGGACGTTTATACATGCATACAGGCCGTACGCTATGTCTCGCGCCGCTTTCAATAGATAGCACATCGTGTTTGTCTTTGGAGCGAACGGCCGAATGGCGGTTGTCGCTGAAGCTCGCGACAGAACGAGGACGATTGCCAGAGTAATTGGTAGAGCGTATCTCGTTTTTTATCAGTACTCGCGCGTCTTTATTGGACGCGAGATAAAATTGCGCTAATATATCAAGAGTCGCGAACGATACTTGAAATGGAATGAAATGTCACGCGTAGAAAGGAATCCTCTTAGCATGGATGGCAGATGAGTGCGGTTTAGCGAATTAAGAACAATTTCGAGCATTATTATAAATTATATTTTTATGCGAATTTATATTCGTCTATTATTTTACCCGTCTAATAGTCCAAGCTGATGATGGGAAAATAAGTTTATTGCTTAAATTCCCTTTGTCGTACGCACTATTCTAAATCGATCTCGGGATATTTAATGTATAAGCAGAGTGATTATATTTATTACGAGACCGTATCAGCCGTGAGTAATTGATGCGACGCTCACCAAGATTGCGAGTGGCAAGCAATTTGAATGGCGGATACGAAAAACGAGTTTGTCGTTCCGAACGAGCTACCGTTCGGAGAGAGATATCGGACGAGTCGCACACGGAGGAATCGGCTCGGCCCGATGAAAAATGCCGGTTATATTGGGAAACTGGTCGAGACGCATTCGTTGGAAAGACAGCGCGTGGCTGCTGGT